CGAACAGGTGAGGGACGCAGACTTCAATTCCGTGAAAACGGAGGGGCAACTGTATGATGGTATGTCATGTAATGTGACATGAGCAACTAGCAAAATGAAAAATTATACCTTTAAATTACAATATCATACGCGCAGCCTCAATGCATTTCCATGGACATGGTTTCATGTGGTTGAAGTGAAAATTTGGTAAAATGTGATGTTTTTAAAGAATTGGTTGTTTTTTTTAAAAAAATAATTTTAATTAATTATTTTAATTAATATATATATATATATATATATATATAAGTAAAATTTATTAAAAATTATAATTTAAAACCTGGGGCCTCTCCTTTCTCCTCCCACCAAGCCTCACCCCATCTCTTCAGCGTTTTAATGGGAGTTGGTGAATGCCAGAGCCTGTCTCTGCCCAAGGCAGTCTGGGGAGCAGAGGGTCACCCCCTTGAAAGGGCCACTTGTTGCGGTCCGCACCCCCTGCCTTCCCCGGATGACGCCACTGGGGACCGAACCATCGCTGGGGCGGGGGTTTCCCTGGGCCACGCGTGATCGCGGAGAGAAGCGTGGGAGGGCTTTCAGTCAATATATATATATATATGTGTATGTATGTATGTATAAACCCTCGCCCAGCTATTGCCCTCCAGAAAGCCAAGGGAGACACTCGGAGGTGTTGCCTGCATTATACGGTTTTTGCTCCTGCTGGGCGGATCCGGAGATCTACCCCTCTAGAAGGGATCTACTCCCCACCCAAGTGGCTTCTTCCCTCTCTGCCTGGACTGTGTGCTCCTAGCTAGATCCCTTTGCTGCCTTGGACGGTCAACGATGCTGCTGCGCCTTTTCTCTTTTTTCCTCCTTGCTCTTTGCTCCTGGGGACTTGGAAGAGGTAAGAACAAGTTGAACATCTCTCTCTCTCTCCCCCCCGTGGTCTTTTCTTTTAAGTTTTCCAAACCCCAAAGGCACCAGATCCCCTGTGACTTTGGAAGCTAAGCAGGGCCAGCCCTGGTTGGCCCTTGGAAGGGAGACCGCCAGGGGAATGAATGCCCAGCGGCTCTAGCAGGGAGACCGGGTGTCCTACCTGCAAAGGAGAAGGCAAAGGCAAAACTCCTCTGGACGAAGCTTCCCAAGAAAACCCCACTGGGAGACCTTGGGCCAGTCACACTCTCTCAGCCTCAAAGGATGGCACGGGCACACCACCCCTGACTAAATCTTGTCAAGCAAACACTGTGATAGGGTCGCCATAAGTCAGAAATGACTTGAAGGCACACAACAACAAGAAGACTAGAAGTTCATGGGGTTACCATAAATTGGCAGGCGACTTGAAGGCTCATACAGAGAGAGTTTCAGGTGTTTTGTCCCTGTTTTTCCTGCCCACTGGCTGTTTCCAAAGAGAGAGGGAGGGAGAACTGATCCCCCCCCCACACACACTTTACATCAGAAGTAAGAGGGAAATCTGGACTTACATCATTTAAGGAAGAGGGAAATCTGAAAAGGGGCCCCACACCTCATCTTGAAAAATATGGAACGTGTATAGAGATTATTGCTGAGTAGATTCATCATACAGAAACAATGCTGAATTAATAGAAAAAGTGATCCAAGGGCTTAAATCAGCCTAGAAATACCAACTTTTGATCCCAATCATCTCCTCTGGAGCATCCCTATCCTCTAATACTGGAGAAATGCACTCTGCCCATGTTTAGGGACACCTTACTGATTTATTTGTTGTTACTGTGCGCCTTCAAATCATTTCTGACTTGTGGTGATCCTAAGGCCTATTATGGGGTTATCTTGGCAAGATTTCTTCAGAGGAGGTTTATCCTCGCTTTTCCCTGAGGCTGAGAGAGTGTGACTCAGCGGGTTACCTACCGGGTTTTATGGCCAAGTGATTTATACTTCCCAGAAATGAGCACTGGAAGCTGGGAACTGAACACCAATCCAGTCCTGGCACAAAGGAATCTCTCTCTAAAAGTTAGGTTTACTTACTACTTTAAGGCTGTAAAAAATCTTCTTGGGAAAGGAAGAGAGTAATTTGATATGATTTTTTAAATCTTACTAAAAATACCAACAACCATAAAACATGAGAAATAATGCATGAGAAGTAATCCTTATAGTTATTTTTTTCAATTAAAGAGCTCTCTTAATTTTTTGCTGGGTTTTCCCCCCCAACTTATTTTGGAGTATACCTGAGACACACCAGTGTAGCGGTTTAAGCGTTGGGCTGGAGACCAGGTTTCGAGTCCCCCCACCACCATGGAAACCTACTGTCAAGTCACACTCTCTCAGCCCCAGGTATGGAGGGGTATTACTTGCAGTCTGGCAACTCCTCCTTCTGGCCATGTGGCTTTCTGGCCATGAATGCTAGTGTGATTTGCCTAGATTTGACTGCTTGGGAGCTGTGTTTTTCACTTACTCCAAGCTTCCCAGGCCATTTGAGCAGATGCTTTGTTCCCAGAAGGACCAAGACCCAAGGCCTAAGCAGACTGCCAGAAATAGTGCACATTAAATTGAGGCACTGCCCTGGCTCAGTGCTAGGGAGTCATGGGAATTGCATTTTTTTCTGAGACATTGAGCCTTCTCTGTCAGAGAGCTCTGGTGCCACAATAAATTACAGTTCCCATGATTCCCTAGCACTGAGCCAGGGCAGTGCCTCAATTTAATATGCACTATTTCTGGTAGTCTGCTTAGGCCCCCAGTCTCCAAAATTATCCTAGGCAGAGTAGGAGTCATCATTGCCCAAGACCCTAGAAGACAACAATTGCCAACCCAAGTACATTGATGGACTAGTGGTGTGACAGTTTCCCAAATGCTCCTTTTGTAAGCTAGATCTACTGAGCTAAGCCCATAACTTGTACTTACATGCTTGATGACTTGTAGATGACAGTTGCATTTATCTAAGCATGGAGGCTTATTGCTCCACTGGTTCAGAAAATAATGTAGTTGATGAGAAGATAGCAGAGGGACAGATGCTGTCCCTGAAGTTAAAGCTGAACAAAGTGTACACTGAAGTAAAATGTAAGACTTTACACTGGCTGAGTAATGAGCCTAACCACAAGTTTGCACAGAATCAAATGTTGTTGTGTGCCTTCATTTCTGATTTGTGGCAACCCTAAGGCGACAGCAAGATTGGTTCAGATGATGTTTGCCATTGCCTTCCCCTAAGGTTGAGAGAATGTGACTTGCCCAAGGCAAATCTATCATGGGGTTTTTTTGGCAAGATTTGTTCAGAAGGGGTTTGCCATTGCCTTCTCCTGAGGTTGAGAGCATGTAACTTGTCCAAGGTCATCCAGTGGGTTTCATGGCTGAGCTAGGAATCGAACCCTGATCTTCAGCATCAAATATACAGTGTTAAAACCACTTGGATTTTTTTGTGTGTGTAAGCTTTGAGTTTCCAAACACATGTTTCCCCTCCACTCTGAAGGTTATTTTCCTCTCAGATGTGTTGATGTGTGGGAGTCAAGAGCAGCTGGGTTGCTTCTGAAGGGCCCAGAAATATTTAAAACTAAAAAATAAATAAATGTGTGAATGAAACAAACACACATCACTCAATGGAAAGTCAAGATATGTAATAGTTTACCCTTAGTAGAGAAATCCACACACAGCTCTATACTACTTGTAGATATGAATTCTCCATTTTTTAAAAGTGGATTTACCCTGTTGAATGTTAAATTGATGTAGCGATTCATGTTATTTTTCAGAAAAGTTCCCCTTGTGCAACATTTGGGCTTTTAATCTTTCACATGCTTTTACAGCTGTTTTGCTTCTCCCCAAGGAGTTTATCACACGGGGGAAATTGGGACTTTCAACAGTGATTAACCTGAGAAAATTGTGCAATTGACATTAAAACACGATTAAAATGAGATTAACACAAGAGCCATTATCCTGTGAATAATCAGGGAATAAACAGACAATAAACATAAAAAGTCATTCATGGGAAAATCCCATGAATGATTTGCTGCTGTTTCTTGCCTGATTATTCATGGGTTGATGGCACTTTAATCACATTTCACCTCAACGTCATGTGAAAACCATTAGCGCAATAGCGCAATAATCACAGGTTATTCACGGGATACTATCACTTTGAACATGGCATTGTGTGAAAACTGTTGGCGCAATTGCAGGATTATCACGGGTTAATCACCGTTTATACTGTTGTCCCTCCCTGTTTGTGGACTTTAAGTCTTGTGGTCCTGGTCTTCGCGGGAGGGACAAGTAGGGAGGGATATAATGACGGTGTGCGCCTGGGCGTGTGCACCATTATTTTCAATGAATCTCGAATATTTGTGATCCCCTGCGAATTGGAAGGGGCTGCTGTACTTCCAATTGTTCCCCGTGATAAATTTCCAAGCGGGAAAGTCTTGCAACATGACTTATCTCTGTCTCATGCCTTCTATATTCCTCCCTAGAGTCAAGAAATTAAACCTAAGAGAGAGAGAGTGATGAGAGA